GAGAAGATAGCCAATGGGCTACTAGGAGACCAGGGTCTGCCTGGTGTATTTGTGCTGTATGAGCTTTCACCCATGATGGTGAAGCTGACAGAGAAACACAGGTAAGAGACACTTCAATCTATTTAATTCACCCTCCACTGATTTTTGTCATTTTGCATAGCTTAAAACTCTCCTCACTTAGACACAACAGTGCTAATGCCTGAAAGTCATGCAAGCCCCTTCTTAGTCAGTGGAGAGGAAGAGGCATTCCCAGATGCCTTTCCTTGACGTGTGAACACCTGAAAGGGATTGGGGTTTTTCTGATATTATCTGAAGCATTTTAATCCAGTATCAAGATGGAGAAGGTAGTTGCTGCAGCAAGCAGTAGTCTGATATGATGGTTCTCGGTTCAGATTAATTTCCTCAAAGTCATATTTAACGGGAAGACTAGGTTTATATAGCATACCCATCTTACCAGCACCTACAGCAGCACACACAGTGATCCAATCTGGTTACCTACTCTGCATTTGCTAGAGTTTTTCTGCATGTCATAGTCAGTGTGGAACCTATTTCTTCTTTCAGGGTCCTCTGTTAAGACATATGCATGTAGTTGCAGGGGAATGGAGGGGTTTGTAGCTGTCCAGTCTTTTAGGATCATAATGAGGTACAACTAATGTCTGTACCTTAAAAGGTATTAGCATGTGCTTAGGGATTTTGTTTTTGTGTTACAGCAGCCTGCTGCTCATTTTCTGGGTAGGAATGGATAAAATCTTAGGGATTAAATGTCCATCCTTTAGGTTTATAAATTCAGTACTTGCTTCTTAGTGTTGCCATTGAGCTTGTTAGAGTGCACCGCTCTAATGCTACTTAATGCTGCTTATTAAAAGTATCAGTGACAAACTCCTCTCTGTAGTCCGTAGGGGTCATTTAATTGTTAAACCTGTTAATTGTCAGCTATTAGTATTTATATAATGCATATTTATGTGCTATGATAAACATTATAATTATGAATTAGTTTTTATTAGTTAATTGTTACTTGTCTGACATTGGTATCTGAGCTCTCAATGGTTGTTCAAATTATTTTCCTCATCCTAGGTCCTTTACACACTTTCTCACGGGAGTTTGTGCCATCATTGGAGGCATATTTACAGGTATTACACCTTCCAATCTTTTTTTTCTTTCTAACATCTTCATGGCTGGTAATAAATCCCTGACTGATGAGGAGATACAACTTCAGCCTTCAGAAGGGGCTGTAGCATGTTCCACAGAGCCATGGGAGTGGCATCAGATTGTTATTAGCACCGCAGACTTTCAAGATGCTGTAGATGGTGTAGGCCTATCATTTCATTTTTATGCTTTACAGGAAAATTTGTTTTCAAACAATGCAGTCTTTCACTTGCTATATCAGTGTGTGTATATTGCTTTCTTGGCCAGCTTGGGTCTGTAAGCAGATAGTTGCTTTCATGTGGAACCAAAGCCAGTAAAATCTGCGAACCCAGGTTGCCCTGGGCATAGGCATCTTGGGGGTCCCAGACTGTGTTCCCAGACATAGGAATTCCAGTGAGTGCTCTGCATGGACTAAAAGTAGCCCTCACAGCTAGACAAGGTCCTGGAAGGCTGTTCCTGGAGAGCCACTTGAATGTCTGGACTTTATTCTCAGTACTGGCTTCTAGAATAGCTAATCAGTATCTGCTCAGTTCCATGTGTGTGACAGAGCCCAGCTTTGGTCCAGCCTTGCACACTCCAGCTAATAACCCAGGGAGCTCTGAAACGTAGTCAGAGATGTTCATATGGTTGTGAAGGGCCAGCTTGGAGATCTGGTCAGCAGACCTTACTGAACCTGAGAAGTCAGCTACTCTATCACCTAATACCTTTATCTGCACAGTTTTCCCATCACCTCAGGTGTCAAAGTGCTCAGTTAACCTGATACTATTCAACAGGATTTCTGTCTGTAAAAAATTTCAGCATTCATATTCATTTCTGTGGTTGACTCAGGGAAAGGCTTTCAGAAATTATTTTCATGACAAATGCAAGTGCCCTCTAGCACTGATTAGGTTTGACAGCCAGTTCATAGTATTTGCTGCCATACACCATGTTTAGACTCTTTATATTCTAGATTACAGGCAAATCAGCTGTGTAACAGTTTTTGTGTTACAGCATCAAATTGATTCCACAAGTAGAGATAATTTCAGGGCAAAGCAACCACAAAAGACAGACATCTGAAGCGTTACTCGAAGACCAGACATTAAGGCAAATAATTCCGTATTCTACAGTAATAAACAGAAGACTCAGATCCCAGTTTAGCTGCTACTTTATATACAGTATTGTAATATCATGTAATATTGTAATATGAGGTGCTAAATAAAAAAAAAAAAAAAATTAACATGCAGTTTCATAAAGGCACTGAAAATACCTTCTCTCTCTTGTACCCTGTGTTCCCACCGTGGCTGTAGCTCAGGGTTTTCTGGGTTTTGTGATGCAGTAGACACATTCTGAGATTTTTCTGTGGTCCCAAACAAGCACTAAATTAATAAGCTCCTTCAGTGCTGGAGAGATTTGGGGAAAATACTGTAGAAAGAATTAAAGGCATCAGTTTGTTTTGCTTTCTGTCCTTGGTGGGGTAAACATTGCAATCTTTGATAAAGGTCATTCATCAAGGGCAGCATTGGGTAGAGTAGCTTACCTTTACAGGTTACTGTGAAATGAGCAAGAAATGGGAAACATGCCCTGGGCAAGCTAGGTTAGGGCAGGTCTCATGGCAAAAGCTCTCGGCATCAGCTTCCCTTCCAAACTCTTCTCACTCATCAGTAACTACGTGTGACTTGTCCTGTCTCATCCTCTGTAAGAGAGATCTTTCTGTCCTGATGAGATGAGGACCTTATTCTTCTGAGCAGCAGCAACTGTTTTGTCTGGGGGAGCTAGAATTCCTTTCCACTGACAGAAGGGTTTGTGTTTTCTTTCTCTGGGAGTCATTCTCTTTTTGAGGCACGTCTGACTTGATCCATCTCTTTTTTCCTTTTAGTTGCAGGATTCATTGACTCCTTGGTCTATCACTCAGCACGTGCCATCCAGAAGAAAATTGAACTTGGGAAGACAACATAAAGAAGCAACAACCTCACCCCGCCAAAAAAACTCTTAAAGAGAACTAAACAGATTTCTCAAAACCCAAGTGATCTTCTGAGTGCACAAGAGAAGAGGTTTGGAGTTACCAGAGCGCTCTTATTTTACTGTCCCAATAATTCTTTGTTTGGCATTGATTTGTGGATGGAACTGCTTGAACTTTGTTGCCATAAACATTAGCCATCTTGTCTGTCTATGCAGACCCTACTGTTAAAACCCTTTTGTCCATGTTCATCCAGCTCTGCCCCCCACCCCAAAAGAGATGCTGAATGGAGATACCACATTCTCCAGTTTGCCTCCAGGAATAATGTACTGTACTATCATGATACCTGGAATAGATTGAAGTTGCCATCAAATAATCTTTCTAGCAACACCATCTAGCTTTTTAATTTTTCATAACCATGTTTGAGTGTGCTGATGCTGTATGCCAGATATCTGTGAAAATGTGCTGAATACCATGCACTTTCCTTCCGGCTGTCCTGGGCAACATGGTGAGACCTAGCACTTAGGATCTTCTTACTGTACTGTGGGGCATTGCAGTTGCTCCAGATTGCTGCTCTTACAAAAGATGCAAGTTAATATTTCAGCAGAAGAAATATATGGAGTTTAATTTTTAAATTGGACTGTGTTTATCACTTCCCCCCTGAAATAAAGTCCATCCTCTTGTGTTTTGATAAAGTACTTGGAAGAAAAATCAAATTATTTGAACTAATCCTGGTACTGATTTGGAAATCGTAATTAAAAAACACACCTGCATTCTGGCAAAGTTTGTAGATATCATGATGATGGGTTTGTTTTTTTTTTCTTTTTAATGATCTACACAAGTGAGTAAAGCACATAGTATGTGAAGTTATATTGGGAGAAATGTGAAAATAACAAGGAAAAATAAAACATTGTGGATTCCTGTCTCTTTCTGAAGCAAAACAGACTCATTACTCTTAAATCTCAGCTCTGAATTTGCTTTGATATAGACTCTAAACTTGGTCCAATCAATTGGTCCAACAGTACAGAGTGAGTGTAACAGGCACAGGATCAGATGTCAATCAGAGAGAGAAGCAATTTGAGGTGTGGGGAAGGAGACTGATTAATCTCCAGGCTAGAATATTGAAAAAAAAACGGGTTTGTAAAAAACCCAAACGTTTCAAACAAGGATATTTAATAAAACTCTCAGGTCAGGATCATACAGTACTACTGCAACATGAAAAAGGGGACATAGTGTCTATATGTTTTATCAGGAACAAAATGTAATGTGAACACCTTCAGTTGCTCAACAGCTTTGTAACTAATAATCGTGAGGGGGAAGATGAATGGAAATATTGCAGCAACAGTTTAATCCACAGTTTAAACAATTCCCAGCTAATTGCTTGTCTTGATAAGAAAGCTGGTTACTTGTAAACCTCAAAAAAACATTGGAGAGCATTGCACAGAGCACTGCTTAGCACCTAGAGAAAATAGAGGGAACATGAAGGGACAGGAAAGTGCAAGACTTGTACTCAGTGTGGGAAACTGGATATAATGGAGATGGGAAACAGAAGACATACAGAAATGGAGATTCTACCTGGAGAGGTAGAAAATCAAAGAAGCTAATAGTTAAGTAATACCAGGCTTCTACTATAAAGTGGAAGCTTATGAGTAGGAGAGATTTGGTGATTTTAATAGACTGGAAGACCACGTGACTAATAGCCATGGAAAAGCTGAATCTGATTCAGGGATGTGTGTTTGTGATTAGAAGTGGGAAAAGACATCCTGCTAACCCTGTGCTGGAGGATGAAACCTCCTCTGGGGAGCTCAGTGTCCAGGGTCTGCAATCTTGTTCTGCTGGGTGAGGCTGAGATAGATTGTGCTGTCATTTCTAAGCAGCAAGGACTCAAAAAGTAAAGAAAATATTAATAATATTCACATGTGTTTTCAAAGTTTATTCAGCGTAAGATAATTTCAGCTGTACTTGAGTTTGTTGTCTACCGACTTGGCATGCTTGTTTTTTTTTCCTTTCTTACTCTTCTTTGATACAATTTTTAAAATCTTTCCTTAGTTATAAAAAGACAGGAAGGGAAGATGCCTCCTGCCCAAACAACAACTACGAACCTCCCCCCAAAAGCCATCAGTGAAGTATCAGTTCTGTCATGCAGCCAGCTATGTTTGAAGAGCTGCTGTCACCACCACTGCTGTCACCCAGCAGTTTCTTGGCCACTGCAGGGGTAGGCACAGGCAGCTCACAGGCTCCACACCCACCGTCAGCCCCACTGTCTCTGCTTTCTCTCTCCCAGCCAGCATGGGTAGGGCCATGCGCTCCCTGTTTCCTGTGAAATCCAATGTCTTTGGTGCCACAGGAGCATGTCACCTCCTGGCACCCACAGTGCCCAGCACCAAGAACCTGGGGATCACAGGGTCTGTGGGCCGGGGCTTGTGGCAGCTCTGGCAGAGGAGTGGGACAAGCAAGCTAAAGAGCTGTGGCAGCTGCCAGCGGTGCAGGGGACTGCCAGTTTCTGCACTGACAGCCTGGCTTCAGCTTCTTGGAAATGCATCATTTGTAGAATAAAATTCTCCCTTCAGCTGCCAGTCTCTCAATGATGCTGAATTCCATGTCAGCATCATGGACCCTCGTCCTCCGGAATGCTCCGGACCAGCGGTTTTTCTCCCAGTAGTGGTGCCAGTTCCCTTCACTGTCTGCTCCAAAGCCAAACACAGAGACCTGCGCACATGCCAGGAAGAGCCGTTGCTGTGCTGGCACTCAGTCGGCCTGAGAGCACACAGGCAAGTGGTGCGGTGCTGATGTGGTGGCAGTGCTCAGTCCTGCTGGTGACACTCACCTGCTGGCAGATGTGCAAGGCAAAAAGCAGGGCTGTGAAGCCCGTGGAGGGGTACCGCCCCTGGCGCTGCATCCAGTTGTCATGGATGTACTTGAGGAAAGCTGGGCTCAGGATCAGCACCTGCAGGGGGAGAGGAGGAGCCATCAGCTGCTCACTGTGCTGAATGGGACAGACAGCTCCCTCCACCAGTGCAACCATCAGCCCTCTCCCCCTCTTGGCTCTGCCCACATTCTGCCGAAAAAAAAAAAAAAAAAACAAACAAAAAAAAACAACACACACCAGTCCAGTCTCTGCCCAGAGGAGCCCTGCCTGTCCAGGAGGAGCTGAAGCACGCGGAGCCCTTACCTTGTTTCTGTCAGCTTTGATGAATTGTTTCACTCTCACGTATGTGCTACAAAAGCCAAAGGACAGTAGTGAGCATGGGGCACTCCCACTCCCAGGGCCTCTCCCTTGGAGGTGGGTGGTTTGCAGAGGGTGGCTGTATCTGCCAGCACCTGGCCCCATGGCATGCCCAGCCCCTTGGCTGGCCCAGCAGCATCCCTTGGCCTGACTCTGGGAAGGGGCACATCAAGCCCATGGTCCCACAGTGGGGACATCCGCCACCACCCCACTCATGGGCATTAGGGGACTGCAGAATGCCCAAGCCCTGTGGGGTCAAGTCAAGTGCCCACTTTCTGAAACAGTGGTGGAGACAGATGCCAGGACCCTCACCCAGGGGCCCTTCGTCCCACCACAGCCATGGTGCCAGGACCCCAGTGAGGCACCCGAGTCCCTGGGACCACCCCCTGCCATTCCTAGTGTCTCCAGCACAAGAGATGCCACCCCCTCCAAAGCTGACGCACTGTGTGAGCTCTCCAGTAGAGAAAGCGCTGGCCACCCACTGCAGGTCCAGTGGCTTGAAGGGGACAAGGACGAGGTGGACACTGGGCCCAAGGTTCACTGCGCTCTCTGGGTACATGAAATGATGGGTTGTTCTCCTGCCAACATCCAGCTCAAAGCCGGTGATTTTTGCTCTGTTCATCCTAGGGGATAGTGGGGAAGGGATGTACCGAAATGAAGGTGCGTGCTGCACCAGTCGCAGGCTGCTGGTCCCATTGGGCAGGGACACCAGCTCGCTCTGGCCAGCAGCAAAGAGGGGACATGACTGACACAGGGCTAGTGTGTGCCCCAGGGTAGGGGGCTCCATTGCAGGGCTTGTGGTGGCAGATTTCACAGAGTGGCCAGGGGCATGACAGTATCCCAGGGAGACAGGGAGGGGCCAAGCCCGTTCAGGTCACCCACCTCAGCACCCAGTCATGGGCATCAATCCGCAGCCCATGGCTGGAGCCCTTCAGCCGCCCTGAGTTCCCCACCACCGCACAAGTCCTGCAGCGAGATGAGTCCCACACATCACTGGTCGGGGTTCGGAGGACAGTGAAGAGCTGCTGAATTATGGCCTGGAGCTGGCCCCCACGCTGGGGACCTTGCAGGGTCTGCAGGAGAAAGGGCAGCAACAGGCAGCATCAGGGCCCTCAGACTAGTACCCCTAAAGGGGGACGGAGCCCTGGTCCTCCCAGTGGAGCCCTAAGTCACGGAAAACCTGATGGACTATTAGGAAAAGCGTGCAGGACAGCACAAGGTCAGGGGGTGTGATGAGCTGGGGTCCCTGCACCCCCTATCACATCCATCCAACTTGACCTTGGACCTGCCCCACCGCAAACAGATTTGGGGAGCCCAAGAAGAGCCCCAAGCTCCCACCCACACCCCCACTCACCAGCCACCACTGAACCACATCAGAGGAGAGCTCATGGGCTGCGCTTGTCAGCAGAGGCCCCATAGCCATATTGTAGCGGGCATTGAACCATGCAGAGCTGTTGGTGCTGACAGTGCAATGGGCAGCAGGAGTGTCGAAGGAGGGAGCCCAAGGAGAGGAGCCAAGGCCATCCGTGGGGGCTCGGAAACTTTGCCACAGGACCAGCAGCAGGCACAGGGCCAGCACCACCCATGTGCGCCTCTGGCACAGCATCCCTCATGCCACCTGCAGTGAGATGTCACAGGGACCAGTGGCAGTGACACCAAAGGATCCCTTCCCACCCACTTTCCCTGCCCAGTCTCCTGGGACACCCCTTGGCTGCTCACCAACCCTGCAGGTACCTGAAATAGCCTGTTAGATGTTTCCTTTTCAAACCGTTCAATGTCTTTATTACTGTGCTCTGCTTCTGGTAGGGCTGCAGTCAGCATGTCCTGCACGACGGTCTGATCTCTGCCTGCAACACTTCTAAGGTCTGCAAACTGACCTGTGAGCAAGCAGCACAGCATTGTCACCAAACTCTAGCTCCCTTAGACAGTAGCAGCTACCCACCCGCAATGCTGTGCTGGCAGCGAGCCCTGCTGCCTGCTCGCCATGCACACTGGTAGGGTGGAGCAGATGCTGGGCACAGAAGTCCCCTGACCTCCCCTTCACCACAGAGCCCGCAGACACATTGCAGCTGGCAAGGCACTCCCTCCCCAGTGACCCTGGGGTTTTGCAGCTTCAAGGGCACTGAATCATTGCCAGGAGGAAGGAGCAGGAGGTACTAACTGCCATCTGTGTGCATGAACCTTTCTTAAATACCCATATTTAAGTGACATTTATATTCTCCATCTACAAGCACTCAGGTAAACCTAAAATCAGGGGGAAAAAGGTTTTCTCATCCTCAGGGAATTCACAAAGTGCTTAGGCTCTCTGGACATGACTCCTGTGGGCCAAGGCAAGAGTGAGGAGCAAGGATGCAGGGACAGCTTCCATCCCAGGATCAGAAGTTACTGCAGCAGGTTTGGCAAGGGGGGGGCAGAGGATAGAGGGGCAGGGAAAGGTCCCCTCTGTACTGGAAAAGCTGCTCCGGTTCACTCAGGAGCACCCTGTGCTTCCCCGGGTCCCCCAGGTGCTCTTGTGGGGCCACAGATCAGCACAGGCTTTGTTTCTCCACATTAACCATTTTCTGCAGCTCCTGCAGCACAGACGTACCTGCTTGCTGTGATATCCAACCAGCTACACTCAAATCTGACCTACAGGACATACACCTGACAGCAAAACTGCTGCTCCTGGGGGTCCAAGCCAATGATTAGAGCTGGGAGATGGGGAGTGTGGGGGCATGTGGTGGTGTTCGGATGATCCCAGGTGGTCACAGCAGGTCACACTCCCCTGCAAGCCTGCCCTTCCAAAATGCAACTGAACCATCACTTCTTCTTGAAGAGAAGCACAAACAAGCCACCACCACTGCACAGGAAACGCAGCTGTGGGTGTTACCAAGCAGGAAGGGGCCATGAAATGGCAGGCTTTTGTCTCGCAGGCTCAGGGTTACCTGGAAGGCCCCCAACATTCTCCCTGCCAGCTGCTGCAGATCCCCATGACTTAGTCTTTTGCCCTTCTGCAGCAGCCACGAGCATTTGCCACGGTGGAGGCAAAGAGCATCCATCTGATGTGCTGACTGGGCCAGGATCCAGCAGTCTCTCAGACCTCGTGGAGACTCAGAGGTTATTAAGCTGCAGCCCGTGGAGGGGGATGAGCTGGCTGGTGGCTACATGGCCAGTGCCAGCAACTCCATTAGGTCCAGAGCCAGTGGATTCAGGCAGTGCAGTGAATATTTCATGAAGCCTTTTGCAGTCGTCTCTTGCTAGGGAGGGCAGGGCTCTGGACAGGCAGGGTTGAGCAGTCCTGTCTCCCTGCCTGTGCCCATGTGCAGCCCCTGCTCCACGGACAGGACTTCTTCACCCGCACCCACACCCCCATAGTGGCTGAAATGCCCGCCCCCAGCCTGGTGCCCAGAGGTGCCCTCACCTTGGGGTTCCCCAGCTCAGCGCCTTTGGCCACAAGGTACTGGGCACAGCCATGCAGCTGATGCATCAGGCTGCGCCCAGTGGCCACAGACCTGTCCCCATCCCTTCTTAGCTCCAAGGGACACCGTCAGGAGCTGCCCAGCCCCGCACCCAGGAAAGAGGCTCCCATGGCATCACAACACCCTGGTCCCCAGTCAGCCGTCCCCAGGGCCCCTCACCTCCTCGGAGGAATCTCCACTGAACAGGGCCAGGCGAAGGCGATGCTCCCGGGCTCAGCAGCCTTGCCAGTGCTTGCTGTAAGCTGCAACAACCACCACAGGAAGAGGAAGTGTTTCACCATGACGTGGGGGAGAACAGAGCCTTGCAGCAAGTGGCACAGTGAGGTCAGGGCTGCTGTCCCTCCTCCGGCAGTGCCCACCATGCTGGTGTCCTGGTACAGCCCTCCCACACAGCCCAGCACTGCGGTGGCCACCAGTCCCACTGGAGCTGGATGCCAAGTCCATGTTCCCAGGGCTGAATCAGGAAATTAATCATTAAAATGTTCTTCTGAGGGTGGAAGAAACTGCCTGAAGTGGAATTACCCTCCTGCCCCTATAGGTCCTGCTGGGATCACTCAACTTTTACCAACACTGACACCAGCAACACTGAGGTCTCAACAGCCTCAAGCATCCAGCACCTTACCAGCCGATTTCTTTTGCTCATCTGGATGGGATTTTTTTTCTCAGAGTGGACAGAGGAAGGCCGTGAAATGTGCCTCAGCAACTGGAAAAACACAGCCAGTAAAGAAAGGCCATGCAAGATGAATTGCGATTAATTTTATCCAAGGGGCAGTCACATCTCTTTACTCTGATGCCTGCAAGGAGATTTGGTGCCTGAGGGAGAAAAGAAAAGAGGAAGGAACTATAAATTCAGACTAGAACAGCCCTGCAAAATACAGAGCAACAAAGAGCCAGTGATTCTTGACAGTGGGTTCAAAGGGCCTGTCCACCATTGCTGGGAGGCCAGGCAGCAAAAGAGCAATACCCTGAGCTGTCACAGAGCACATTTTCTGGAGCACAAACAGTGAAACCTGGGTGGGAGGAATGAGGGGACGGCACAGGCTTGCGGTGCTGCTGACTCCACAGCACTTGTTTGCATTTCCAAGCTCACTGCATGCTCAGCACTCAGCAGAAGCCCCTTTTCACAGGGTTTGCGTGCCAGCACTGGTCTAGAGCCATGCAGGGCACTGTGCTGCTCTACCATTGTTTCCATTAGCACTGTCAGAGCAGGGGGTACCACGGGACAGGCAGCATGGTCAGGGCAAGGCAGGAACTGGGCATTTGGCAACAGAGTGGCCCAGGCCTGTTTCCCACATGGGGAGGTGTCTGGGGCAGGAGCATGTGTGGAGAATTTAGGTTGCTGTGTTCTCTCCATTTTCCTGGTGAAGGGATCCTCTGGGACATCCCGGCACTGCTGGCAGCCTATGGGAGGAGTGGGCAGTGGGGACAGGGATGCTGGGGCAACAGAGGTGAGGGAGCCAGCAGCCAGTGAGGCCATCGGTGCAGATGGGAGCTTGGGGAATTGCATTTTAAGCAGCTGATCAGATCTTCCTTCTTGAATTGAAACAACTCCCAGTCATTGAGCACATGAGTAAATGAAGCAGGGAAGACGAAGACACCTTGCCTGTGAGGCTGTACTTCATTCCACCCTTTCTGCTGGGGGAAATAAAAGGGAGTGGTGAGCATGGCACAGGGGCATTCAGGGAGATGAGGAACTGGCCCCGTAACAGCTACCTTTGGTTGCCAAGGAAAAGATGGAGAATGGAGAAACATGCAGAGCAGCTGATGACAACAGGTGCCACAGTCATGGGACAGAGGCAAAAGAGGGATGGAAAGGGGATCATGTGCATCTCAGCGCTGGTCAGCATACACAGGTTCATTCACCCACCAGCTGCTGTCCTTTTCAGTCTGGTAGCTGGAAAGGGGAGGGACTGGGGACAGGGTGAAGAGGGACAGTAGGGGGGAAGGGAATGTGGCCAGGAAGCAGAAAAACATAGAATGGAGGCTGGGGTGTGAAGTGAGTTATCCAGAGGTGGAAGATGGGCTGTGCAGCTCCAAAGTGCCCCGAGAACTGCCAGCACTAGGGGAAGGATACAGCTGCCATGGGTCATGCACTTGGCACCTTCTGTCTGCCCACATTCCCCATACTGCTGAGCTCTGCTGCTATGAGGCTAGTGCCTACAGGTGCCTGGAGGCCCCAGAAGACCTCCATCCTGGAGCACCTAGGGCTGCTCCTGGCAGCGCTCACCCCTTTGTCAAAGTGTTGTGCTGTGCAAGTCACTGCCTCAGTCCCCAGCCTGCCACCCTTGCCTGGGTGTGGAGAGGGGGGCATCTTCCTACCATGGGGCATGCACAGAAACAAATCTACTGCCTGAAAGATAGCGACAGGGTCATTCCCTTCTCTGAATTCAGCATCCAACAGCCCAGCAAACCCCAGAATAACCCTACCCTGGAGGCACCAGTGTCTAATAGCCATGGCGTGGGGAGCCCTGCCTCGTGCTCAGCTATGGGTATGCCACCCAGTGCTGCAGTTCCCACAGCTCTCCCAGGCCCACATCCAAGCAGAAGGCCTTGCAGGCCTGATCCACAAACAAGGGTTGGCCAGTCAAAGCCACAGACAACCTGACGTAGTGTGGGTGCTGGACTGCAGACCTCCAGAAGGTTCTTCCCACCAGCATGGTCTAGATCCTTGCCCCTCCTGACCTGTCCTTTCGTTACCTGAAGCCAGGCTGGTTGTGATGGGCTGGTCAGGGCTGAGCAGTACCCAAGGCACTGACTCTGAGGATATGTGCTTTTAGTTGATGCTCATAGGTGAGGGTGGGCTCCTCCTGCTTTTTGTGTCCTCAGCAAAGATGGACGAACTGGTAAGGGAGGGTGGATATGCCCCCTGGGAAGCTAAACACAGAGCAAGAACAGATCAGGGGTCAGCAGCAAGCCAGCTCTGAGCAGAGCTCCTGGGGCAACCTTCCAAGGGAGAATGAGCACAAATACATGGGCAGGGGTTTTTCTTTTCTCTGCTTGCAGGTCTGACTTGAGAAATGAATCAGGTTGGAAGCAGAGCTGGGACTGGCAGAGGGGAAGTCAGGCAGGAATTTCTGAGTCTCCCAGAAAGCAAGGCAGACTCTTAGAGGTGGGTCATGCCATGGGAAGGCTGGGCAAGGATGATGGGAGTCAGTCTTGCTAAGGAGCAGAACCACGATGATGCTGCTTTTTCTGCCAGCAGTTTTGTCTTCCTAGCCTTGTCTCTACAGATGTGCTCCTTTGCCTATTCCAACAGCAGCAGCATCTGGGAGGAGCCAGCACATTATAATGGCACCAGCATAGGAGCACCAAGGGTGAGCATATGTTGCACTGCACTTCAAAGCAGGGATCAGTGCTAGGACAGACCAGCCAGCACAAGCCAGCCTTGGTGCCTCAAAGAGCAGAGAACCAAAGGATGCCCTAGGGCACCAGACAACCATTCACACCCCATCAGGGGCCCAGCTCCCTCCCAGACCATCCTCTGCCAATGGAGCTAGGCTGCAGCAGCAGTAAGGTCACCCTGCCAGCCTCTGCAGCACCCTGCCACAGGTTCTCATCTGGCTTTTCCCACTGGCATGGAAATGGAGGCACATATGAGGGGGCCAGCAGCACATGCAGGCTACAGAGGTGGGCAGATGGGGGGGACAGGTGTCTGGCCACCCCCCCCACAGGGCACTGCCCCTGCTGCCTCCAGCATGAGGGCAGTGTAAAGGGGTGGTAGCCACGCTGGGGATGGTCAGACCTCCTCTTCACAGGACCCAGCTGGGAAAGTGAAAGGGATATTTGCTGATAAAATGGAGCAGGTATGGCTGAGTAGGTACAGGAGTGCCCACCCCAGCACAGTGGGGTCGGGGGCAGCAGCAGCACGTGTGGCCCTAAGCCAGAGCCTGTCAGGACCTCACCTTCCCATCTAGGTCTTCATCACTCTCAAACATGTCATCTTCGCCCAGGTACCACTTATATTCCACATAGACATGGGGGTTGAACTGATTGCTCTTGGCCTGCAACAGCTAAGGCACAGAGGAGGTCCCTGAGGACCCACCAGACTTGTCCTGCCCTACCAGCCCCACATGCAGCTGCTGGCCCCATCTCTACCCACCCACCCATCAAAGCAATATCTGTGAGCTGTGAGCAGTGCTTCCCATCAGCAAGGAGGTTTTGTGAAGGTCTCCAAACACACAAATCAGGACTTGGCAGAAGCAAGACTTGGACTTGCCAAGGGGATGCACTCACCCCATGCAGCCTCAGTACAGATCCAGGTCCCCCTGCCCAGGCACATTGTGACCCCTGCCTGGCCTGTCCCAAACTGCTCTGCCCTAAGTGACCCAACGCCAGTAGGGCCAGTGTCCACTGGCCTCCTTTGCACCCTCCTCTGCATCCCACACTGGCACTGGAGATACTGAGGGGTGAGGGTGGCCCTGCAGGACATGGACACATGGGTGCAGGTTCCCTGCCTCTCTCTGCCTGCCACTGGGATGAGTTCCAAAACTAGAGGGTTGATGAGACACAGTGTCTTACCAACTCTTCACACAGGGGATGTCTCAGCCTCCTGGCAACATCCAGGGCCATCTCTCCGGATTTGTTAGCTGTGGGGTGGAGATGGCAGCCTTGAACATTGTTGTGCTCAGCAAATGGAAGAGCAGTGCTGTGTTCAGGGCATCTGGGGCAAATAAGCCTAAAAGAAGGGACAGCCTAACACAGGAGACAGTCCTCCACAAACTTTCTCTGACACGAGTCCCTCCCATGGGCCGCAGCGTTCCCCACACTGCTCCAGCGTGGGTCACCAACTTTCTCCGACTGGATTCCCTCCCACGGCTGCAGCCCTTCCCGAGCTGCTCCCGTGTTGGACACCCCCGCATGCTGCAATCCTCCCAGCACTGAATTACAGCAGCGGGGCTACCTTTTCCCACAAGATCCCAGCCTTCTTCAGGCACAATCACCTTGGTCACTCAGGCAAAGCCCTTCACAGGCCATAAATCAATGTCTGCTCCACCGTAGATCTCCATGGGTGGCAGGGGGGGCCGCCCTGCCGTCTCCCCACAGGATACAGGGGGGTCTCTGCTCCGGCACACCTCCCCCCTCCTTTCTTCCTCCGTTCCTCCACTGACCTTGGTGTTCACGCAGATGCTGCAACTCCCCCTCACCAGTCCTACTGCCCGTCACCACGTCCCTTCTGAAATACGTTATCGCAGAGGCGCAGCTGATGGGCTCAGCCTTGGTGCAGAGGTGGAGCTGACTTGGAGCTGGGGGAGCTTTGAGAAGCTTCTCACAGGGGCCACCCCTATAGCCCCCTCCCCTGCCACCAAAAAACCCCACCACTCACTCAAACCAAGGACACCCAGACCAAAACAAAGGCTCAGGCCACTAAGGGATGGTGGCTGAGACCCATATAAGGAGAGAAAGGAGCATGAGTGAATCCTGGTGATGTGCAAAGATGGCAGAGGACAGAGGGACAGAAGCATTTGGTCACTGTCAGAGCCTAAAGGCTATAAAATCAGAAGAGGACTCCATATCTGGCACCCTGTGTCCTCTGTGTCACCTCAGGGAGCCTTGGGCAGCCCCAGTATGTGTGTCCTGATGCCCAGTGGACACACAGACCCCAGTGCTTGCAAGCAGGGGTATGAGTGCAAGTCTGAACAAGTGATAACCATTTTACTTCTGTTTCCTGGAAGGTCTGAGGATGGGGCCTGTGATGGTGGTGTAGTATCTCTGCAACATTATTATTTCTGCAAAACCCCTCCTTGCAGAGCTGCAGCACAGTCTGGCTGGGGAAGGGGGAGGACAGGAGAAGGGAACAGCAGGAGGTCTGCACCCTTAGGGACTGCAGAGTATCAGGATCTCAGCAAGGTCTGCACTGTGGACTCAAACTGCTCAAGGTAATTGGTAAAGACAGGTCAGGCACAGATGTGCCCAGCACAGCCAAGGCAGTGATAAATTTGGCTGCCAAATCACTGTGACTAGGGGACATGCACCCAGCTCCTCCTGCCTTGCTACAGTCTCTCTGCCCTCCAAGGGTCTGCCACCACACTGCCCAATGCACCTACATTTGTGCCGTCCAATTTCACCCGGGATCCTAGTTTTAAAGTTCACTTCCGTGCTGGGCAGTATAAATTGTTGGACCTGTAATCTGGACTGCAGAGCACCAGCACACACCACCTCTGAACCAGCGTTTTGGCAGTCCTCCTACTTGCTCTACAGCATTGCAGCCCTGACTTTGAAAATACGTGCCTGTTTTGGTTCCTGCTATGCATGTGCTGCATGTGGAAGAGCAGCTCAGGCAGTGTTTGCGTTGCTGGGCTCTGCCAGCAAAATGAGCTCACCTCAGCACAATCCCATCACAGAGCTGCCTGTCAGAGGCAGGCCTGTGGCTGCCCACCTGGGAGTGAAGTGGGGCAGAGGCATGAGCTCCCTGGGATCAGGAGTATCATAGAGCAAGCTGGTTCCTCCCTAGGAAGCAGAGAGGAGCATCCACTGCTCCGAGCTGGAGAGCAAAGCCACTGCTTTGGTCCCAGGCTGTTGAGAGCAGGAACTTGTGAGGTGTGGTCACCCCACTCACAGAGGGACATGTGCACCCCAGTCCTGCTTGTGAATGCTGCTGAGCCTGGAGAGCCAACTGTGAGAAACAAGCCCACGTATATATAAAAAAAAGGTTTTATTGGGGACAAAGTCAGTGGAGCAAAGAATACAGCGCTGGGTGCAATGGTGTGCCCTGGAGCCAAAGGGGCTCCCTTTTATTGTATAAAAGGTTACATATTCATCTACTCTAATACATATGCATCACTACTCCAAGGATAGGGAGGGAATATTACAATTAGTTCCAAGAAATCATTAACAAATCCCCCCACCCCAAATGCCTCCCATCGCGCTTGCACAGTGCTCCCTGGAGGTCATGGGCAGGGGTCTGCAGATGAAGGCTCGTAGTCTTCTTCACTGTGCTCGCTAGCTGACGCTTACTTCTGCGCCAACTCAGTCCTGTGGTCACGTACACCTTGTCCTTCAAGTCTGGGCCCAATTTGCAGCTCCTTTGTCTTTCTGGCTCAGTGGTTTCAGTTCCTCTCTTACCTCAGGGACAAGAGATACCAGGGATGGCCCATCCTGTTCTTTCTCTTTCCATTGCAAAGGAGTTACCGCCCTGTGATAGGGACCATCTGGTGAGCATCCCAAGGAGGGGGGGCTGTTGGGTTGGTGTTTCCTCAGATCAATTCTCCCCTTTTCTTTTCCCAGTAGTAAATTCTTTTACTTTTCTTAAAATTTGGATCATTGTACTAATAATAGCTTTAGCCTAACTCAATAAAAGTAATTGTTTAATTACTTTTAGCGAAAGCAAAATTCTTCTATTATTTATCACACAACCAAGAGTAGTGTCAGAGCAGGGCACCTTGCTGGACATACTGAGAAGAGCCTGGGATTGAGGTTGTCACCCTGTGGGCAGGGTCCCCACGCAATGCTTTCATCAATCCACCTCTCCCCAGCCTCTCCCCAGCCACAGGCAAGCAGTGCTGAGCACTTAAGTGAGGCTAAGGAGGTATTTCCAGAGAGCGCTGAGAAGACTCAGTTTAGTGTGTGCATGGGGTGGGGGAGCCACAGCCACTCACTGATGGTGATGTTGGCTTTGGCCTTCAGCAGCAGTTTGACACACTTGGGCTTGTTATGAGAGCAGCAGTAGTGAAGCAGCATGTCATCCTCTGCTATCTGCTTTGCCAGGTTCCTGCTGCAGAAGAGGGTGAATAATGTCAGAAACCCCAGGAAGAACCATTGGCCCCAGCCACAGCAAATACTGCATGGTGCTGGTACACGAATCCTTCTTCCCACCTCGCCTGGAGAAGAGGTGGCCACCACCTCTTATCACCTCAACCCAGAGGAGACAAGGGAAACCAAGGCCCCCTGATCTAGGGGTAGTTACCCCCAGCCCAAGGCATGTTTGATGGGAGGCCTGCCCTGGTGATTTTTTGTCTTTTTTGGGAGCATTTTGGAGAAGATCATCAGTCTTACACCTTTCACTAGCACAGCTTAGCCATGAAAAGCTGAATGGGTGTCATAAGCTTACCTGTTCTGAACAAGAAAATCAACAATATGCGAAGAGGTTTGATCAGACAAGAGCACTGGCCAGATGAAGAATGGTCTCCCCACGTTCCTGTAACCAAGAAAAATACAGCAAGGATGAGACTGTGTCTGCCTGCACCATCACCACAGATAGGAACGCTGTCCTTTAGGGACTGTCCTTACACATTTTAAATTCCTGAGAGATGAAGAGTTTTGACTGTCTCTTCAGAGCCCACCAAGGCTGATGAGAACCTAGTTAACATGAATAGAGTCATGGCCCATGGCTTCATGATGAATGAACCATTCCCTTTTCACGTTTAGAAATTGAGGCAAACAAAGGTGACTTTTTTCCCCAGGCCATTGGCTAAACTTTGCCAAGTCCATGTTCTCAGCAGAGCCCCAGGGTGTGCAAGAGCTGCTCCTGGCAGAGCTGATTCTTGCTTGCCATTTTGTCCCAAGGTACCCCATACTGATGGTGCTTCTTGAAGCATTTTGCTCCTTTGCTTTTATTCTGAAGGACACCCACCAGCGCCCTTGATGGCAAAGGGGGTGGCAGAGCAGCATGTCTCTAGCTCCAAGGGTTAGAGTTGTCCTCTGCTCTTGCACTTACAGCAAGGACCTATGCTGCTGTTTTGAAGGAAAAAACGCTGCCCTGATAATTCAATCCACAGTGAGACTTGGGTGTGCTGCTGAAATCTGCTCAGAAGTTTACAAGTGAATCTCAGTTACAAATTGGCCTTTGGAAAGCCTTGGGCTTGTGGTTATAACTTCTGACCCCCCCACACACAGCATGGGGAAGGCTGTGGGGCCAGAGAGTCTCCCTCTGCCATGATGTTCCTCATCCTGCCTGAGTCTGCCTGTTGCTCCTGGCTCACAGAAAGCAGTTGTTTAATCAGAAAACTCTCCCCTCCCAGGCATAGGCACCCTTATAGACAGGCTGGAGAGGCAGCAGCAAAACTGTTTGCCATACAATCCCATGGGATAGGTAGCCATACCTGCAGAGGTGCCAGCACAGGCTCACTCAAATCCACGTTCTCCTCATACGCTTGGAGGAAAGAAAATATGTCCTTGTCCTTCACAGCTTCTGGGAGGCCAGAGCACTGAGAATCAGGGCTCCTCTTGACATATTTCTTCTCGATATACTTGGAAATGATGAACATTTTCCAAAAATCCCTGGCAGAGACCAGCTGAATGAGAGTTAGGGGCCACAGAGCAACCCAGTGAGCATCCCAAGGCCACATTCCTCTTCTCCCATTGCCCCACTCACCTTCCCTCTCTCTCCTTCAAACATGCCAGGCAGTTAAGCAACTTTCCTCTGTTGCATTCCCCAAACTCCTCTGCAGCAGCATTCATAACTGCTTTTACAAAACAATGTGGTTTTCTTAAAGCTTTCTCTCCTGCAGTTACATAATTAAACATTAACTGGACTTTCATGGATTTAAAGTGCAAGTATTGCCATGGCTGGGGAGAGGACCCCTGCACCCACCACAGAAAGCAGGAAACAGCTCCCCATCTTTCTTTCCTTCCAGTGGGGATCCCACTGCCTTCATCCAACACCCTAAGGTCTTGTGCTGGGAGGGATGGGGAAGGGTTGGTGCTTCTGCCCCTTTCCCAGGCACTCATTGCTTCCCACAGCCCTCTCCATCCCCTCTGCTGCAGGATGAGGAGTCCTGACCACCCTCCCTGGGTGAAGCATGCTCAGAGGTGCACTGGGGGATGTATACACTGTCCTGGTGATGTTCTCTGCTCTCTTCTCCCTTCCCTTCCTCCCCAGCCCTGACCCGTCCTTTGCTGTTTGGACCCCTCTGCCCTCACAGTTCAGTACTGGGCTCAGCTCCCTGATGAAAAGAATTAGGGGAATGAGCAGAAATATGGGTGAATTAGACACAGTATGTGTCAGTGCTGCCTTTGTGATGGTGCCATGGGCCAGAGCAGAAAGCCAGCAGCCGTCTTGTACCCCTCTCCCAGGAGCCAGACTCTGAGCTTCTGGAAAGCGGATCATCTCCCACCAGTGTGTGGGAGTATGCTTGCTGGGAATCACAGGGGTCCTGTGCTGGGAGAGTTGCATACCTGGAAAGGACTGTGAAGAGTCTTAGAAAAACCTGAAACTGGACAGAAAATAATGAACTGGGGCTGAGGAGTCTTCTTCACTGCAGACTAAGGTTAAGTCTCACTCCCCTTTTGGATGCATCTCTTCCACCTTTTCCCTCTGTTATGGTCTGCCCTGATTGGCAGACACAGGAAAGCTGGCTTGGAAGCAGTTTGGAGATGATGGTCTTGGATGTTTGCTGAAGGCTTCTGCAAAAGGCTTCATGCTCTGCACCTCTATCACCTCCACAGCAGCTGTGCTGTCTGGCTGTACAAGCTAAAATGGTAAAAACATCCATTCCAACACATGGAGAGGATCTTCCCATTCCTGGTTCCATTGGGCAAGCATGGCAAAAGGTGTCATACCATCAATAAACACAAGCGCTTGTAATGATGCAGACAAATCAATGCGCCAAACGTTTTTCTTGGATGACTTGCTCTACCATTTCAATTACATGTTTGGCATCTGGAGTCAAAATCCTGGGTGCTGCAATATTTACATCCCCTTTTAGCAAATCTGCTAAAGTCTGTAATTTTGATGATGACAGACCTAAATAAGGTCTCATCCAATTTATGACACCAATTAGCTTCTGAACATCATTGAGTGTTTTGACATTAGTCACCAATTTACTTGCTTGGGGTTGTGTGGTAGCATTTTCTGGGGATCAGGGACATGCACTGATCCTACAGGGTTTGGACAATCCAGACTGGGTCTCTGAGCAGAAAACTGCCTCGTGGTAATCCTGCCCTTGAGGTCACCTGGAAGGGCAAGAATGAGCAAGTCAAGTTAGGGCTTCCTTCCTGTTTGAATGCCCAGATACACTGACCACAAAGTAGATTTAGTTTGTTCACGCGTGCTAACGATGCAGACCTATCACAGCACTTCTGGGTGTGTGATAAGTGCCTTTAGCCAATAGATTGTAAAGCAGAGAGCGGGCGACTGTCTGGCTCTGTATATCTTGGGGCTATTCGGGTAAATAAAGGAGAACGACTTTCATCCCGTTGGGGTGAGGTCGTCACTCGGGTCTTGTCCCCGTACGTGGTCCCTCCTACAGGGTTGTACTGTTCTATCAAGTATTTTCATTCCCAAGTAAAGCCAAGGCTGGGTAAGTTGCACCTTTTCATGAGCAATAACTAGGTCGTAATATTCTAATGCTTGCTTAGCTTCATGTTCCATTTGGTCCAAGAGTGTAGGTGTTGCAGCAGCCAACAGAATATCACCCATAAAATGGTAACAACAACATTCAGGATATTTTTGCCGAACAGGGCTCAAAGCTTGGGCTACAAACCATTGACATACAGTAGGTGAATTTTTCATCCCCTAAGGTAACGATTTCCAATGATATCTTTTGGTAGGTTCTGCATGATTAATTGATGGGACTGTGAAAGCAAATTTCTCCATGTCCTTTTTATCCAATGGGATCGTAAAAAAACAGACTTTCAGATCCATTACTACTATGCTCCATTGCATGGGAATCATTGTAGGGGAAAGCAAACCTGGTTGTAAAGCTCCCATTGCTGCCATTACCTCATTAATTTTTCACAGGTCATGCAGTAATCGCCATTTCCCCAATTTCTTTTGTATAACAAAAACTGGGGTATTCCAAGGGCTATGTGATTCCTCAATATGTTCCGCTATTAACTGTTCCTCTACTAACATTCACAGGGCCATAAGTTTCTCATTTTTGAGGGGCCACTGATCCACCCACACCGGCTTATCCACAAGCCATTGTAATGCTGTTGTGGGTCTTTGACACCCTGCAAGACAGTGACCCCTATGGAAAATGCGTGGTTATACGGACTCCCCATTGCCCCAAACAGTCTCATCCCCACAAGTTCAGGGGGGCAGCAGTGACATAGGGTCAGACAGTGGCCTTTTGTCCTTCAGGATTAGTAACGAGTACAGGTTTAGCAGCCATAAAGCTGGTTGCCGTGCCTCCCAACCCCACCAGCCCAGAGGTGGTGGATACCACAGGCCAGGAATTAGGCCAGTCCCGTTGAGCGATAATTGTGACATCCACTCCTGTATCCGACAACCCAGATACCTGGAACATATTTGGTGAGGCACTGTCCATGGCAAGAGTGCACTTCATTTGTGATCTTGTATCCAATAAAGTCTGTGACCAGAAGACTTGAGGTGTACCAGTAGATCCAAAGCCTCCAGACCCATGAATCACTTGTTCTGTCCTGGGAACACAACTCTTAAAAGGCACAAGTTGAGCAATTCAAGTATTTTTTTCTATTGTTACCGGGGGTATTGCAGTAGAAACCATTGCACAAATTTGTCCTTCATAATCTGCATCTATGACTCCCACATGAACCATAATTCCTTGCAGTGTGATGCTAGAGCGCCCAATTAATAATGCACTCAGTCCATGTCCAATGGGCCCCCAAGCATTTAAAGGGACTTTGTGTGCACACCTTGTGTACTTACAGTTACGGTGCCGGCAGTGGATACATCCATCCCTGCTGATCCGCTAGTTTTTCCCAAGAGGTCGCATAAATTTGTGGCTGTTGGGTCACCAGATGGAGCTGTTGTGCAAGAAATGGGCTGTTCCCGGGGTTGGCAGGTATTTGTGCCTGCACCCACCCTTTCGAGCTCCTTTTCCCGTTTCCCTGTGGCAGGGGTTGCCCACTCAGGTGAAATTTAGATGGGCAATGTTTAGCAAAATAACCATTCTTGCCGCACCTGTGGCAAGTGACTACAGCTGAAGCGGCAGCACCACTGTTGTTACTACGTCCATCCCCTTTTTGTTTATTTGGACAAGCTGCTTTCACATGGCCAGCCTGGCCCACAACCATAGCATTTCTGATCCTTAGATCTCATAGCTGCCATGGCAGTAGCTAAAGCAGCCACCTTACGCTCCACTGATCCTACCTTGGCACAGGCAATGATCATTGTCTTGAGATTCTGCTCGCCTGGCAATGCTTCAGTTACCTTTTGGCAGTCTGAATTGGTATTATCCCTCTCTAATTGTGTAACTAGCATCATTCTCAAATTCCTATCAAAGACCTATCGCTCAACAGCCGCTTGCAGTTTTTCCATGAACTGCAAGAATGGTTCTTGAGATCCCTGTTTAATGGCAGTATATCTTGCTTTGGGCTCTGACATTTCCGCTGTTCTTATCAAGGCTTCGATGCCAACGGCCTTAACCTGTTCAAACACAAGAGGATGCCATTGGGCTTGATGCTGTGGATTATTAAACCTTCCCGTACTCGTTAAAACGTCCGAGCCGTTGCCGTAGAGCGGATCATCTTGGGGAAACTGCAAATTTCATACCGCCTGGGAGTCTGCTTTTTGTGTCCAGATACTGCTGAACACAGCACACTGAACGGGCTGAAACACGATCTGCACAAGCTGTGCTATATCATAGTGTCATTTCCTCGGTTGTTAACAATCTGATCAGCTGCATGGTTGCTGGGAAATTAGGACCATATTGTGCAACACATTTTTGGAGGTCTTGAATGAATTTCCAGGTATAGGACCTATGCTCATCCATTATCCCCTGCCCTGGGTCCCCTCTAATTACAGGGAATGCCATAGCCATTGAGGGATCTGAACTCTGTCATGGGCTTATCTATGACTTCTGATAAATCCCATTGTCCCTACTCAATGGCTCCTGCCTTTACCTTCTGCCAGAATGATAAAGAATGATAAAAAAAATGGTTTTACAGTAATTCGTGCAGGGGGCAAATCCCAGGCTCAGGGACTAGGTTTACAAGAGGAGCCCCCAAGGTTCATTCAATTATCAGTTCTCTCCCTTTGTTCGACTCACTGTCCTTGCTTGAGGCATCCACTCTGTCCCCCTCTCCTCTCACAGGATCATCCCCATCGTCTGAGTCATCAAGGCAAATATAAAAACAGATTAGTTGTTTCTGGTGACTCTTTCTCCCCTGAAGGAAGCGGTGGGGCAGATGGCGTAATAGGATTTTGATGCCGTCTGCTTCACTCAAGTAGGGGACGATTAGGGTCCGTTTCCTCATCCGAATCATCAGACAAGAGATTTTGACGCCGGAGCTGTGGAGGCTTTACCTTTGGGCCGACCACAGGCTCTGCCACAGGTTCAGTAGGGCACTCCTCCTGGGGTTTGCATTGGGATACAGGCATTATCCCTGACCCCTGTTCCTCTGGGGATGCCACTGCTGTAAGACTGGGGGCCGAAACATTATTTTCTGCTTGGTCCCTCTGTTCCTTAAAGTCCTCTGAAGTATCATACAGCAGAAGCCATGTAGTTAGGAGTTCCATAGCCTCTTTTGTCCCATGGGAGGCACTATCAAACAACTTATCGCCTATCTCCAGCCAATTCAAGACGCTAAATGATGTTACCATATTTGCTTCATATCCTTGTCTTTTGCTCCATAATAGCACCTTTTGTAACATTAGCTCATCCATCTTAATGCCCCTCTTTTTCACTATTAGTTTCCGCATTGTGACTATCATATTTTCCTCTTTTGTTAATGAGGCACCCATGTTCCCAGCAGCTCACCTTTTCAGTGTCTCTTTCCAGATCCGAATCTAGCAGCTCTTCCTG